CCTTGCTGCCGACGTCACATTTGGTTTCGCCTTTCGCTTCTTGTCGTGTCTCTCTCTCTCTCTCTGCCCCTCCCTGTCTATCTCTCACTCTCACTCTCTCTCTCTCTCTTGCTTGTGTCGTGTGCGACAATGTTGCGTGCACACTAGCCGACCAAGACAGGCATTCCCAGTAATTCGACTCAGCCATGAAGCAACCCAAAGCCCAAGACTCACACACACTCAGATCCAGAACTCCAAGCCCCCAACCATGCGTAACCCTAGCCCTAAACCCTGAACCATAAATGCGACCAGCACTCCAAATACTAAAGCCTAAAACCCTGAACGCGCGAAACTCCAACCTCCAGCACTCAACACCCCAAAGCCCTAAAATCCTCGCGTTTCGCACCTGAGGCTTCGGCATGCGCCGATGTTCAAGAAGAAGGCCTTTGCAAGGGTGGTGGGTCAGGGTTCAAGGGTTTCGGATACAGGGCTCAAGGTTGCGGATGTCGGGTTTCGCGTTCAGAGCTGCAGGAATTCGGAATCAAAGCTTTTGTAACAAGGCTCTTGAGGACTTTTCGACTCTAGCTGTTTGTTGTTCTGTCCCGTCTTGGTGTTTCGAGTTCAGGATGCCTTTTGGGAACCCAGTCGTTTCGGCTTTAAGGGGAACGGCAGTTCCCAAGGTTTCGGGGTCAAGGGGCAGAATCCACTGAATGAGTCTTTAAGGGTTCAGGGCTCTAGGATGAAGGCAAGTTGGCAGCTACTAAAAGCCCCGCCAAGCTTTGCGACCCCCCATTCAGTCACTCTGTGCAGATAACGAATCTTGCCTTACGAGACGGCGTGTAACGAAAACTCTCAGGCCCAGTCCAAGAGAGCCTTGGTTCCAACACCTGCATCACGACAGTTGGCGATGATGCCTTCGCGAAGCCCTACGACACAACGTAAAGGCTTTACTGCCCTCGACCCCCAAAGCCTACTCACCAAAGTCCCCACAGCCCTGAACTCCAAAAGCCTGAACCTAAGCCCCCCCCAAGCCCCTAAACCCTGCATGTCATGTTTGTGTGTAAGGAATCCGTCACAATGTCGACTCGGTACCTCCTCGGAAGATACTAAAGCACCCTTAAAGAAAGACACTCCAAGATACCGAACCTGCCGGCAGGGCCGCGGCGCCGGCCGTGGCGTCTACGGCCCGGGAGCTCCACTCAGCTTTCATTTGAGATCACAAAGACACGTCGGCTTAGTTCTCTGCAGGTTCTAACTTCTGGTCCAGGATTTAAGTTAAAACGCCTCTGGGGTTTGAAATGTAGGCTTAGCCAAGAGCCTCGGGTTTGAGAATCAAGGTGCACTTCCAGACCTAGGGCTTAGGGCAGTTTCGGGTGTAAGGCATAAGTTTAGGCTTCAGGGCATTTTAAGGCAGTCTTCTTGGCGATCCTGAGCCAACCGCACCTGCAACCTAGGTTTTAGAGGCCTCCTTAGGCTTTCCTTGGGGCCTTCAGGTTTTCGGGGTTTCAGTTTGATGAAGAGCATGGAACCATGGGAAAGCCTGTGCAACTGAAAGCCAGGCGTAGTTTAGTTTCCATGCTTCAGCCATGGACCCCGTGCAAACTCTAGCTGGCGGTCGCGACATGCCGAAGCCAGATCTACACATGCAGACAAAATCATTCGGGTTTAGAGCTCTGAACCCTAACTCCACTTCTGAACATCCTTGAATTCAGAACACTGCAACTAACTAACCTTGTTCTGAATGGTTCACGTCTGGTTTGTCCAGGCAAGGGCCGCGGCAAGGGCTTGGCGGCCCGCGCACGCACGGCCGCGGCATCCGGTCTTGCATTCAATCCCTGCACTAGGCCCTAATCATAGACCACTGGAGCCCTGATGCTTAAAGCTTCTAGTCATCTGCACCCCGCTTCTGGAACTACATTTGCTTCGTGTTCATGGTTTACGGAACCTACGTATTGGTCAGAATTTCGAGGAAGGAAGTCAGGGGGCCTGCTGAAGGAGGTTTTATCGCTTGCCAAACTTGATTACCACGTCCTAAGGCATGGATATGATATACTATACATATACACATACATATACATCTTCTTCTTCAGCAGGTGCAAAGTCCGAAAACGAACGTACCTCTAGCAAAGACTGAATTCAATGTTGGGCTCAACCACTGCCTAGTATGCACTCACAAACGCTTTGCACGAGTGGAGCAGAAATCTAGGCGTTAGGAGCAGGCAGGGCATGCAGGCACCCGTGACCCAGCGTCGCAAAAACTGTATGATGCCTGCCTCACCCTACCACAAAAACAAAAGGAAGCACAAACAATGCAACTCAAGTGCACTGCGAAGCGGGCCTACAAATGCGCAGTGTATTCCTCATGGGTATGAAGTGAGGCCATCCCTACACAACATAGACAACTGCGTGACTATATACATACCCGAAATGCCCGAACACATTCTTCGAGGTGATATGTCGGCATGAGCACAAAAGGTTCAAAGCTTGAGCCTTGTTCCTCATGGGGCAGAAAGGCAAACTGTTAGCTGTATGCCCCGCACAGCGTATCAAAAGCCATGCCAACCTGATCATGTTACTGTCAAAGCCGTCACGCTCATGGAACAAGCACCGTCTGCCTCATCGTACTGTTTCATGAAGACAGAGCTCTTAGCCGACGTTTGCCGGTGAAGGCCTGTTGTTCTGCAATCGCTTAGAGCTGTCGTCTGACCCTCTGCCAAAGGCCGTTGATGCTGTCCTTGCAAGGCAGTGTTCTTGCAGCCTCCAGTTGGTGCGACGATGAACAGCATTCCCAAGCGCAAAATCTCCGTCTGCACAAGCTCGCATGGCTCCCGCGAAGCAGCACTGATCCGTCCAGAAGCTGCTGGGTAGTTGACTGCTCTCCTGGCACCGGTTGAACGCACAAAAGAGCGTCAAACTCCGCAGGCTACTGGATAGTTGTGTTCCCACCAGGCTCTGCTTGAACTCACAGCCAGACATCAAAGTCCGCAGGCCCTCTAGGCTCCAGTGAATGCAAACATCAAACTGCGCAGGCTGCTGGCTAGTCGGCTGCCCTTAAGGCTCCGGTTGAATGCATTGGATGCGCCCTTTGCGCGGCATCTGCCAGTCTCCAACATGGCGAAGCCAGCAGACAGGAACATCGTTGCGAGGCACATGGCGAACCCCACCCCGAAGAGCACCTACAGGGTTCTGGAGCTCTACGATCTTCTCCCGCTGGTGGCCGCAATTCGGGCCCTATATACATATATATATATATGTATATTATTACACACACACACATGTTCGTATACATATACATGTACATGTACATGTACATGTGCATGTATGTATGTATGTATGTATGTATGTATGTATGTATGTGTGTATATACATATATACATGTACTAATTGCGCATGTGTGTATATGTATATGTATTTGTGTTTTTGGCTAGCCATACATACATACATTTACATATATATATATACATATA